AGCAAATTTGTTAGAAAAGGATGAGTCAAAAGCTTTAAGCAAAAATTCTAACAAAAGCTTGTTCATTGTAAACATTTTATTATCATGATCGCTCCACTTGGATTTCTCTAATGTAGGCACAATGTAAGCACAATCAATAACTTCCCATAAGTTAATATTTCTAGATTCAACAAATATTTTAAATTTAGAGCACCACTGAGCATAAGGGAAATTTCTATATTTTGGAGCAATATTTGGATTATAGCCTAAACGAAATGCATTCAAATTCATGATATATATGTGAATATATGCAAGCAAGACAAATGCAATCATAACTAGATTAGCATAAAAAGATAATTTGGACCTTTAACTCAAGGTGGTTAGACCTTAAATCAAAGAGCACCAAGCTCTGATACCAATTGTTAGACCCTAGGGGGGTGATTAAGGTCTTATTCTAATCTAATCTGATTTTATACCAATTAAAACTAATTAATAAATTATTCTTGCAAGAGAGATATACAATATGTTACAAGCAAGAATAAGCAATATGAACAAAGGTAAACATCCTACCAATGAGATATACTATGAGATATATACAATGATATATAATTAATACAAGGGTAAACAATCTAAACTAGATAGTGAACAATATAATCAATAAGCAATAAACAAAGGCGATATAAGATATGAACATAAAAATAAGTGCGTCAATGCAATCACAAACAAACGATATGATTACGGAGTTCGGTCCCCACGACCTACATTTCTGCTCCTCACCTCGAGGAGATCTCTACTATCACAACCGGGTTTTCTACATTTACCCGAATAACGTTTACACCACACAATATGGTTTTCTAGTTTACCAAAAATTCTATAACTAACACACTCTTGTAATCCCACTCTACACCCTGTCAAGTGTTGAACTAAACGTATCTCCTTCAAGTGCTCGGATACAACCTCTCCCTAGGTTCATCAACCGATGCCACTCCTCTTGGGACGATCCCCGACTCTCGCCATACACTTATTTCGGTGTACAAGTATATTACAAAGTGATTCTCACAATAAGTACAATACAAAGTGTTTGTTCTCTATAATGGATGAGAACGAATTATAAGCTCACTCTCTAAGTTACACAATTCCACAACCCAATTTTACTGTGAATGTAAATACAATAAGCTCAATGGTTGTGTGTGTGTGTGAACAAAGAGAAAATAAAATCAACTAAACTCAATATTAATACTAGCTTAATAAAATGATAATCAAAGAATATAAAATATAAAGCTAGATTGAGTTTAGAAAACTTCTCAATAGATGAAGAGTGAAAGGAGAAGAGTTAGATGCTCAAACACTAATAGATGAGATCTCCTCAAGCTCTTGTGGAATTGATTCACAAAAAAGAGAAACACTCAAATGCTTAAAAGCTTATAAACACACTTTAAACAAACTTAAACCCTTGATTAAAACTTTGTTAAACCTCTTGGATTCTTGTTGAAAACTGAGGTATAAGGGGTATTTATATGAAACCCCAAAGCCAAGAGAAAGCCAAGAAAAGACCAAAAACCAGCTCAACAACGGCTCTGGAAACTAGCCGTTAGAGCATATTTGACAGTGCGGCGGTCGATCGCGAAGGTCATCAAAGCAGAAAAAACTTCCAGAGAGTTCGACGGTCGACCGTGGCGGTCGACCGTGGGAATTTTTAGCTTGACGGTCGACCGTCACGGCCGACCGTGAAAGTTTCTGCTGCCCACTCAAAGAAAAACATAGGCGCGGTTGACCGTGGCGGTCGACCGCAAACTGATGCAAAATATTTTAGGTTTGAAAGTGAAATGCTGATTTTAAAACCCTGTTTAAAAATATCAAATAAATTCCAAAAATTATAAAACTTTGAGAAATGATTGTAGGCATGATAATAAACATGCTACAAAAACTAGTTTTCAAAAAGAACTTCCCAAATAAAAAATATCATTATTTTGTAAAATAGTCCAAAACATGAAAATGTAAACATATGAATTTTGACAGTTTGGCTAAACCATATTTTGAAACAATACAAAATAATTTTACAGACTTAATAGAAGATGTAAACTATTGTTATGAAGTCTATAAACAATGAATATAGTATTTTATCAAACTACACATATAATACACTAAAACATGATTTCATGGAACTAAATAAAATTGATATTGATGAAATCATATAAATGCATGTAAGTATGAAACAAAAATATGTTTTCCAATTGTATTCAATTGTTTCATAGTAAAACTTGAAAACTATCAAATCAAAACATATGTATATATATAACTATATATATACATGAAAACCAATAAATGTGTGTATATATTATATTGACCGTAAGGTACTAACACACATAATATAAACTCCTAAACTAAATTACCCAAGCTTGATTGATCTTCGATGTAGCTCAACTTGGTACACTTGCAGATGAAGCTAAAACTTGGATATTCAATTTGAATTGCATAGGCTTCACTCCACAATTCCGCCAACCTCCATTAGATATGATCGTGAATGCGCAATTTCATTCATCCTCCAACTTATTGTTTGCATAGAATAAATATAAAACACAAACACTAGACAAACAACATTAGTCGTAAATTATTTGTTAAATATCATCAAAACAAGAAGACCAACATTATCGAGAAAGTTGTTACATTTTCCTTTTAGGATTTATTTCTTATAGAATTTCTTTCTTTAAGAACATGTAAATGATAGTTTTTTTCAAGCAGTTGGTTATTTGTAGATTACATTTCTTAAACTAAATATGCCTCCAATCTAATCTGCTCTTGGGTCCAACTTGCTTGTGTGTGGACAGGTTTTGTTTTATTTTTTGTAACTGGTTTGAAACAAACTGAATCTGAAATAAACTGAATCTGAAGCAATCTGAAAGGAGCTCGTAAGCAACCATTAGAAAATGATACTTGATGGCCATATTTTGTATAAACTGAATATGAGCTTGGGTTCTTTTGCAGCCTTGGTTATATGAGTTGTTAGTAATATGGCTTGTTTTTTGTTTGCGGCTGCTTGCTTGTAGCCTTGATTATTTCAGCTCTGAGCATGTTTGTACACTTTGATGGCTTGCATGTAGGTGAGACTCATTCTTGTATGCTTTGATGGCTTGCTTGTTTGCTTCCTATCTTGCATACAAAAGCAGCCTGAACTTGGGTCCATCTTGCTTGTTTGCGGCTGGTCGCTTGCAGCCTTGGTTATATGAGCTGCTTGCTTTGAATTCAAGAGGGTTTTGTTTTAGTTTTTGTAGCTGCTCTGAGCTTACTTGTGGCTGCTTACATTGCTGGTTATATGAGCCTGAAAAGTATGTTTACTTGTTGGTGTGTTGTGGGTTTTAAGTCCAATCTGAGCTGCTTGTATACGTCGGTCCAACTCGCTTGTGTGTGGACAAATTTTGTTTTATTTTTTACAGCTAGTCTGAGCTTACTTGCGGCTGCCTAATGCTAGTTATATGAGCTTGTTTGCGTACTTGGATGGTTATATGAGCTTGCTTGCAACATATTTCATTCTTGCATACTTTGATTTCAGATGCGATTATTCTTTGATGGTTTGTTTAATTTTTTGCTGGTTATATGAGCCTGAAAAGTATGGTTACTTGTTTGGTTTGTTTTATTTTTTGTTTCAGGTGCGATCATTCTTTGATGGCTTGCTTAGCCTTGGTTTGTTGTGGGTTTTAATTCCAATCTGAGCTTGTGAGCTTGCTTGCTTGTTGTGGGTTTGAATGAGTATGCTTACCCCAATTGAATACAATTGTGTTTGTTTTTTGTGGGAGGTAAGCTCACCAAAGGTTCTTATATTCACCAATTATTATTTTGGTAATCCTAAAACTTGTTTGTTACAACTATGGATTTTAAATTCTAAAATTTGTAATGCTACAATTTGAGTTTGAAACAAACAAGAACTTACAAATTATAGCATTCCAAATCCTAAAATATTGATGAAACAAACAAAGTTTTAAAAATCCCGAACCATGTTAAAAAACTTATAGATTTCAAATCCCATGATGAAATTCATATCCTAAAATTATAGGATTTGAAACAAACACACCTAAACGCATAAAACTCATATATATTATCCCCTTAGCTCTTCATCATTGTGAACAATGAAACCCTTGCATTGCAAATTTTCATAATCTCTCCTCATTTACTCCGCCCTACTACTCTTCCTTCCCTCCATCTCTCCCATTCGGAAACCTTGTCACCCGCAAGAAGCGAAAAGACCTCCATCCTCGTCACCCGCAAGAAGCGAAAAAGACCTCCATCGGTAATGTTGTGCCTTCAGCATTGGTGGATAAACAACTGAAGCGCACATTTAGGAGTGGAGCCTGGAGAGGAGAGGACGATGGTGTTGGCATTGCTGGAGAATGCCATGTTGCGTCGACACAAGTTTAGAAACCTTATCACCCGCAAGAAGCGAAAAGACCTCCATCCTCGTCACCCGCAAGAAGCGAAAAAGACCTCCATCGGTAATGTTGTGCCTTCAGCATTGGTGGATAAACAACTAAAGCGCACATTTAGGAGTGGGGCCTGGAGAGGATAGGACGATGGTGTTGGCATTGCTGGAGAATGCCATGTTGCGTCGACACAAGTTTAGGGACGCAATTTAAGTTCGTGTGATGAGGCCGAGGGAGGAGGATGATGGCGACGAGGAGACCTCAAAAAAAGCCGGCGGACAAGAGGTTAATTCCTCTACATTTAGGTTTGACTAGTCATGATTAACGTGGTGTTTTATTAGAGATCTTTAGGATGATGCATTGACGGTTTATGAATTTAGCATGTATCCTTTAGGTCTGCTTATGTCGGATAAAAAATGTCTTCAGTTTTGTTTCTCCTCTATACATCTATCTATTATTTTAAGAAAAATAGTAAGCAAGCAAAAAAAAGCCTAGAATAGGGTTTTGTTTAGACTTTGTCTTTGAATCCCCGTCGATTCCATGAAACGAATGCAGGAGCGGGTAAAAAGGCTGATGATATACACTAGAAGAAGTGACACATGCATATTCTTCTTCTATAAACTATATGTTATCAATTCTTTTCCTGAAGGCATGTTCCAGAAACAGGCAAAATAAAAACATGTACATCAGCATGTCTCATCACATCTCTGGATAACTAACCTTACATATGTTGAGCCACTTCGTGTCAAGTTACAATAAGAGATGCATTGCCTGGTTTAACCCTAGGCCTTCGTCCTCGCCTTGTTGTCCTTCCCCATCCTATTAAACTCCTTTCACCGATATCTACCTTATCGGTGATTGCAACATCAAGAATTTGAGGTCGACGTCTCCCTCTTCCCTGCCCTCTAGGCCCCCTTCGGCCTGTGCTTCGCCTTTTCAAGTTGCACTCCCAAGGCTCAACCATTGCTCTCATCAGACAATCGAATGCCTGAAGATCCTCGGTCACTTCATGCCTCGATAGCGTCTTTAAGCCTGGTAGTATATCCTTCTGAAAATCCTTCTTCTGCCTCCTCTTCCTTAACTGACCCCTGCGAGTCTTTGTTAGGATAAGAGAAGCGACACCTAGGTCATTCTCATTGTGTTGCTTTTCTTGTTCCTGTGGCGGAGGTAGATACTCTTCTGGCTTCATTTCTTCAAGCTTTAGAGTTGAGGACTCAAAAACATCCACCATTTTGTCGTCACCATCATCATAATCGTCATCACCAGCCTTCGCTTCCGTTGATGAAACTACATTAGCAAACCAATGCAATGGATCGCATGAAGCCGGGGCTAGTTGCTGAGTGAGACCCAAAGACATGACCACAAGATTCTCAGCTGCCAAATTGGCAGGAGTTTCAGAAAAGGGTATCAGGACTTCCAGATCGATGTCATGAACACTCTTTTCAATGCTATTAGGAACCACATCTTCAGTTGAAGTAGTGTTCAGATCAATGCTGTTCTCTCCGATGCCCTTTCCTGTAACTGTGACCCCACCAGAAACTTCGGTTCTGATAGCATTCTCCTGAAGCTCATTAATGACAACATAGCCAAGATTTTTTTTAGTACTAACACTCTGTGAAGTTCTCTGTCTTAGCTTCCTCTTTTCTTTGACCTTCAAAGATGATGGAAAACTCTCTGGTGACTGATTTAGGCTCTTTGAGAGGCTGAACGCCGCACGAGAATTAGTACAAGAAGGTTTAACCTTAAGCCCAGAGACTCCTGATGATGATTCCTCAAGCTTCCCATCTTCTCTAGCATCATTTGACAGAGATCGACTAAAGCTCAGATTGGTTTGCAAATTGGGAAATTTCTGGGATGCACAAGCTTTTGACTTCTCATGGACTGGGCTATCACTATTATGTTTAAACTGTGGTGAAGAACTAGAATCCGACGAAAGATCGTGGTGAAAACCATATTCACTGGGGGATAACTCTATTTCACCTCCCAGTTGTGACTTTAAATCTCTATCAGGTTGCAAACTGCTGCATATAGCGGTAGAGTTTTGAGTGAATTCTGTGTGTTTCCTCTTTTGATATTTCATCATCTCTGATGCAGGGAAGCAGGGAAGAGCTTGAACTGCAATGGGAACATGGGTTATATCTCTTCGAGGCTTTCTCTTAGCTTGAACCACTGGTGATGCACAGTTCATGCCCTCTGAGACAGGAATGACTGATAATGGACCAGGCACTTGGGAATCTGTAAGTACTGATGCTGAATCTTTTGAATTAGCATATAGTGAACCTTTTTGATAGGGTCCAGCACCAAGAGTTGGTTTCTCTTCAAACCATGTTTGTGTTGGTTTCTCTTCGAACCATGTTTGTGTTTGACTGTGTTCATGAAGACGAAAATTGTTCTCTCGCTTAACCTTTAGCTCAGATGATTCAGATAGCAATGGACACTTATCATTATTGATGAGACCCAGGGTGAATGAATTTGCTCTGTTTCGACTTGATCCTGCTAAAAAAAGAAAAATAGCCAAGAATGTGTAAACATGGAGGGGGAAAACAAGCAAAGGGAAAATGTAAGGAACTAAGTGTATGCTAATGTCAGGTGTTGTTGGTAAGAATAGTTGTGATTTAAACTCCACAAGCAGCAACCAGAGTCTAGCAACTAGAGAAATGGATAGCTCAGTTAATTGTGTCAATCTCTGAAGCAAACCACCTGCCAATGTTCATGAAAGTAAAAAACAATCGTCAAAAACTGACTCAACTTACAAATTCTAAAAGGCGTGTGTTTGTGCATGAATGCACTTGCACACATGCACACAGCGTGCACATGTTGTGCGCTTGTGTGTGCACATTGGCCAATAAATGTGTACATGCAAAAACTTTAGTGTTGTACATCCAACTGTCAATCACCCCATTCATCTTGATCTCAAATATTTGATGCCCAATAATCAAATGTAAAATATTTAAGATTTCTTGTCTATCATTTAATGCTTTCTTCCAATCTTCTGATCTCCTTCCTGAGTCTGAAGTTACGTGAAACATAACTCAAACACAACTAGGTACAGATTTATAACTTGTGAAGTTGACCATAGTTGTTTATTGCCTTAATTTTGTAGGTTCTTCTATTAACACAGAGACAGAAAGGAGTTGACGGAAAGGGGAAGAAGACAATACACCTCCTTTTGTTAGTGTCATTGTTAGTGTCGTTACTGGCAACCGAGCAATACGAAAGGGCACACATAACTAGTGTCAATAATATCATAATGTCAGCAGCACTATCCAGACTTCAATTGCATAGAATACTGTTTCCTCTAATTTTTTGCTCAGGTATCTTGATTTTGCTTTTGTTGGATCTTTGTATCTTCTCGTCTCTCTCTCTCTGCGCTACTCTCATCCTGCTAGTATATATATATATTATATAGAATATATATTAATATATATATATTATATATATATATATATATAATGTATTATTATATGATATATATATAGTATATATTTGAGATTAAATGGGTACCTTAGTGCATAGGATTGGAATTTCCTCACTTGACGCCTATGTGCACAATCCGCGCTCACCATCTCTATAAAACTAGAAGAGAGAGTGAGTGGTGGGGATTGTGCCTACTTAGATTTGTGTAACAAACAAACACATATGTACACACCACACACACACAGCACACTACACAGCACACACAATATATATAAGCAGAATATATATTTACTATATATATATTATGTTGTGGTGTGTGTGTGTGTGTGTGGTGGCATAACATATATATAATGTACATATAAATATATAAATAATATATATATGTACTATATGTACGTATGTGCCAGCATAGGAATCAAGGAGAAATCCCCTCTATGACAAGGATACCCCATGTATCTCATATATATATAAATATATAAAGATATATATATATATATCTATACATATATATATAATGTGTGGTGTGTGATGTGTGTGTGTTGTGTGCATACATATATATTATGCATATATATGTCACATATATATATATTTATATGACAAATATTAATAGATATAACATATAATATATATAGTATATAATATATAGTATATATATAAGGTGTGGTTAATAGGTATACGATAATACTGTACATATAAATAATAAGATAGTATAATATATATACTATAATATAATTTATATATTGTAGGTACACACACATATTTACATAATGTACGTATAACAGCCACACACCCACTTATATATATATATATATATATATATAGTATATATATACAGATATATAATATATAATCATATTTAAGAAGAACGAGAGAGAGAGAGATAGCTAGGTGGACAAGCTAAGTTTTTTTGTAGTAGTTAATATTTCTTCATAGGAATAATTTACCAATGTGTAACACAGACAGATATGTAGAATACCTAGAGAAGTACAGTTAATATTTCTTCATAGGAATGATTTACCAACATGTAACACAGTCAGAAATGTATAATATCTAGAAAGAAGAATTTCAAGTCAAGACTCCAGGGCATATCAATCAAATCTAAATTTGGTACTTAAGATCCTTGCTAGTAGTTTTGTTTGAACTAGCCACTCCAAACCACACACTAAAATGTAATCCTACTACCTCCAATGGCACACTATTTAAGTTTTTATTCAGACTAACTGTGCCAAAATGAACAAGATGGGGGAATCTTTATTTCAATATGGGATATTACATATTCAGCAATGAAAAGATGACAGTAACGCTGTCATCATTGATGGGAAGGCCTAAGCAAATTAAGTGTAACGTTCGTGGGTTTTCAGTCCACCACTGGATTTGGAAATATGCTATAGAACTTGCAGTCCCTAGCCCAATCAACCTTACTCCATAAAACATGTCCAAGTATGTCGATGACGTGGACTTATCTTTCTTCCTTCTAAAGTGATCAACATTACTAATACAATTTAATAAGCATATAAACAAGGGAGAGTAAATGAAGTTTAACAATTAATGCACAAAATATAATCATAATTCATGGGATTATGCATGAAGATTTTTGCCACATGCCTCCATCGGCAAGACCTGGGCCCATGTGGCAAATGCAGACGGTAGCTGGTTCACAAAATTTGGAGTTAACCAAGTTCTTGTGATATTGTATGTGTTACCATATTATAAACAAAGTTACAACTAGCTATTTCTCTAGAGCAGATGGATAGATTCATACAGTAAGAAAATTCAAACCCAAAATACAATGTGCAATCTTGATGGTTATCTATTTACAAGGACTGCAAAATGATCTCCAGTAACTTCTAACTCACAGAGTGTTTTTTCTGGGGTTTTTTGGCACCTTCCATGTGATAGGTCTAAACGATTTAAATTCTTACTCAGGTTCATTTATTTTCTTATTCTTCACCAACACCTATTTACCAAAACTTCTATTACGAGATAGTCCGTAAAATAGTTCTTGTTTGAGTAATAATAAACTCTCATCTAGTACTAATAATTGTTTGAGATCATTTAGTACATGTGAAAACAAGTATACAAAGTGTACGAGGCGAAACGATATGAAAATCAGCACAAACACATCGTACCATCGATGGGTTCTAACCCATTGATGGGCAAAAGGTCATCAATGGTCTATAGGAACTGACTGCAGATTTTCAAAAACAAGAATTCAACTCATCGATGGATTACAAGAACCCAATGATGGTGCTCATGGACCCATCGATGGTTGTGAGCACCCATCGATGGTTAAGTTAGTTGATTGTAGAATTGGTGATTTAATCACAGTCGTTCGTCATTCCTTTTGATCTCCAACTTCCTCTATGATCGGGGTTTCCTGATTATTAGAAACTGTATAAGATTGAAAGACCTAGATTAAAGGAGAGATCTTGAAAAGAGAAATTCTAGGGTTTATTTAAAGAAGATTGAATTAGAGTTTTGAACCCTTGCAACCTCAACAAACTCTTCTTCATTGCGCTCATTATGTTTAGATCATCTCAGCGAGGAGAGTTATCCTTGATTTTATCATCCACACTGTTCTTCATCAAGTTACATTGGTCCAAAGATGGTTTGTTAATCAAAAAGAGCTATAAGATCTTTCTTATTTTATGTGCTTAAAATGGTTTGTTTTAAACTTATTTTTATAGCGTACTCAAGCCGGTGTTAACTGAGGTTTGTACTAGCTAAGGCTAAATGTTACTCATTGTGAAGAGCTGGGGTAGACGATTGGTTTCAGATAGATTCCAGGGTGCGGTCTTTGTAAACCTATTGAATCAAGTTGTTATTTAGGAGAACTCCTGGCATATGGTGAGGAAACACCTTCGTGAGAACAAAAAGTGAATTTAGGATTTTTATCCGAACCACTATAAAATCTTACGTGTCCTTGGTTGGTTGATTTCGGTTTTATTTTGTCCAATCTGCTGCTTATCTTGTATTGTTTAGCGAAAAACGATAGCAACCCTATTCATCCACTCTCTAGGCTTGCGGCTTGCATGTCAGATCCAACAACTTCATGAATCCCCACATAAGGCATTAAATTATTATGTTTTTTTAGGAAATTGGCCAATCACCGAAACGATATGTTAGATCTATGTTATAACATTATATATAAGAAACTTTACAGGATAAAGGAGGTGGCTAGCTCCCAGATAATCCATTCACCATAAAACAAATATAACTAAACATAATTAGATCTCTGACTTAGTATCTAATTGTTCTAAAATAATCTTACGGTTTTCGGTTTTGTTCATAGAGACGAACCCTAAATTAACAAAGTAATAAATAGTTATGAAGTCCAAAACTATGTCTTATGAAATCAAATTAGACATTTTATACCCAATAACTATCATAAAAATGGCTAGAGAGTCTTACCATCTATATAGCTGAATGGTGGCCACCCAGGTACAGATTCTTCCCTATCTGCATTGAAAGACTTTGAACAAGGCCCTTCATCTGTATGCTTGTCTGTAAATAAATCCCTTGACAGAAAACTTCTGTTAGATTTTGTTGGCAATTGATGACAACCAAGATTTCCACAGACGATGTTTGCATAATGAGAATGGTTAGAAACTGAGCCAGAGTCTCCTTCACAACTTAAGCCTCTTTTAGATTCAATCAGAAAATTCAAACTCTGAATGGACTGACCATTTGGCCGAATTGAATCTGAAAGCCCACCAGCTCCACTGCAATCATCTCCAGGTCCAAGAGTCAGTTTCACATCATTCTCATCCTCAATATTACATACTGTGCTTGAATTATCTCCAATTTTAAAGAATGGATTGACTATCTCTTCCTTTTCTATTCTACCAGAGTCTTCAATATCAATATATACATCGGCAGGAAGTTGAAGATCAATCATTTCTCTAGGAAGTCCCTTCAGCTTGGAGCCTGAAAATTCACCATCCTCTAAAGAAGCTCTATTTTGTGGAAATTGACTGAACCATATACGCTTTTCTTTTAAAAGGTCTAAGGACAGCTTAATATCCTCTTCCTCTGTAACAGTAGTCATATTGAAACCAGCCCTGCTATCTGTCAGGTAAGGCATCTGCCATTTCTTTTCAGTCTCAGATGCCATTGCCGATGAGAACAAATAAGACTGTGACATTCCACTTTGCACAGGAAGTTTGTATAACTCTTCCCTTCTAAGGTCACCCATCAAATCCTTTTGTATTCTATAAAGGCGATGGAGTTCACAGACCTGGGAGTGATGCAGTCATATTTAGTCAAATAGGCACTGGTAAAAAATAAACTAAAAGAAAATCAAGAAACCATAAATCACAAATAAAAGAAGGATAGGTTTCTAATAATAAAGAAAACTGTATACCAGGTACCAACTCTTGCTTTTGTCTAATATAAATACTTACTTGATAGTTATCACTATCTAAACCTGACATCTTTTTTTAGAACCAACCTTAAGGAAATTATGTATGATCAAAACTGATTATTATGAGCATCCTCTAAACCAATGCGACTTTACTGAGAATTTTAAAGACCCGCGATTTGAAGTGACAACATACAGCTAAATAAGCAAGAAAATACTGGAACCTAAAATCCCCTTAAGTTTCTCTTATGGGTCTGTCAAAATTGATTGATCTGTATTAAACTCTGAAGTGCAAAACAGCCAGATCTAATCAGGTTGAGACAACACCTGAACCTAACCAGACTAATATCTGACCAAACTCAATGTTCTCCATTATTAATTACAAAGCATATGATTGCATTCCCAAACTCTCTCTTAACCATACCTACACCATTTAACATAAAAAATATGCATTTATACCTGCTTCCTAAAGACAGCTTCCTGTTCGAGCATTGTCCTCTTTAACATCTCTTTATCATATCCTGAATCTGAATATTCATGAAGTGGCCCTGCCATGAAATTATTGTAAAGATGCTTCTCCAGTGCCCTGTCCTCATAATACGCAGACCAGCTACTACGTAGATCCTCATTCAGATCCCTCATTGAAGAATATCCTGGCAGGTAGCTTTCACACTGCATTTTAGTTCCCATTCCTGCAAAACTCCCAAAAGAAAACTTCAGATGAATTAATGTATAATTCTTATCACAAATGTATTTACAGATGATAACCAAGTAGTTACTAGGTATAATCAACCCCAGCAGATTTAACAACATTTAGGAAATTCATTAGTAACATTCGCATAAGAGAGAATATTCCACAAAAGTGGTCTCATCTTCCCGGAACAAGAAAAAGATACAAGCTGTAACGTTCCAACCTATTACCAAAATTAGAAATTAAAAGTAAAGAAGTCAAGATGGAGCAAAACTTAAATAATAATGTAGAACGGTACAAAATACAGTTTTTAGGTTTTCTTTCTTTTTTATTTTTGGTACAGGAAAATGAAATTGGTTGTGCCTGCCAGGCTCCTTTCACAAAGCCATTGACTGAATTAATATTTGATCAGAATACCATCTTGGCACTTTGAACACACTTAATGTTATACAACGGTGTGCTACTCTTGATACATTGCTCTCCTTTTCATGGATGAAAAGATATTTTGCTTTTAAACCCAATAAGAACCACATTAAAATCTCATAAGAATGGTAAATGAAGTAAAAATATGATAAACCTTGTTTGTTCTTTTGTGTTAATATTCCTTTTAACATGAGAACCAGTGCAAGTAACTCTTCTCAGTCCTAACAAGCCATTTAACTGTTACTTGAGAAAACTCAAGATTTCATACAGCCGAACATGTGCCACATACCCAGGTTAAATGAAGAAAATAAGTTTCAGCAGATCATAATTGTCTATAGAGCTGGAATAGATGATATCAGATTTGAAGATGTACAACCCAAATCATTAATAAAAAATGATAGAGAATACATGGTTCAGAACAATTCTCATACACACACATTGTGTTAGGTAAATATCTAGCAGGCTTCCAAAGATTTGACCATTTCCATTCACATAGGATAATATGGAGCTGTAAACTGCAATTAAAGGAATAGTTCTCAAATAGATGACGAACTATATACTCCTCTACATTTATGGTTTTGTAGGCCCATATCACGGTAGATGTCCGCTTAAATCCTCCACAATGACATATTGGGTAAAACTTCATTGCTCAACAAGGCAAGATAACCATACGTCCTTGTATTAAAATACAAAATGGTCTCATTTGAACTTTAAAGTTGTTCATTTACGCAAAGTTCATCGAAACTAAATAAACAGAAAGTAGACTTCCACTGTCTCAGAGTATGATGTTGGAGAAACCATGTCAACCAAGATTCAACTCAGTGGTATAACCACAGGATTCGATCATCAACACTTATCTAAAACATCCTAAAGTTTCTTGCAAGCTGACTTTCCGAGAATCACAGTAAAACTTGAGAATGAAATATGGCTACCTTTGCAAGAGCAGGAAGCTAGAAATTGGAAATTCTTTTTTGAACTACATGATAAATTCCTTACCAAATCTGTAAATGATTAGGGTATTAAATGTATATCCACTTCATGATCAGTAACCAAGAAGGCACTGCCGTGTTTTTTCTATGTAACATACAAAAAGGTACAGGATAGTAATTTTCCATGTGTATAAGTGAAAATGTAAGCTTATTTGATGAATGTGTCACTGCATAGAAGCAATGATTTTGTCATGAGAGTTGTGGGATATACCTTTTTCCTCCTAAAACTCTGCCACATGTTGATTGTTCTGTTTGCAGCAGGAGGCCTAGGATGTATTGAGAGGTGTTTCTTCTTTCCAACCATATAAAATGTTCCCCTTACCAAATTTAGACTTAGGTCTCTGATAGCATACTTATATCATCAACACAAATTGATTCAATGTCCCTGGAGACTGATAAAAATTCTAGACTCCAGGCCCCCACTCTATCATCCTTTACCATGAAGGAACTCAAAATACCAATACCAATCTAAACCTCATAGAACACAGGTTGTCTAAATAATTTCTTGGCAGTAAAACTAAGACTCATGAGAAATCACATAACATATCAATCCTTAAACCAGAAGAAGATGACATTTCCTCCAGAAAACAGAAAAAGGACAAGGCAACACATCTATCGTAAGATAACAAAGTTCGTAACTCTTCCGCACTTCAAAATTCTACAACCCATCTCTGCAGCTGCACCCTCCAGATTTGTATTTCAACTTAATCAAAATCGATGTCTTGCAAATACAAAGTTCAATGAATATTTCTCTTGAAATACCCATTAGACACAAAACTGTAGATACATGTTCCCTATTCCTAGGTGGACTTCGGGGCCAAACTTGTCATTGCCATCATCATCATCATCATCCAAAATGTATCTCATCCAAATAGGGATGATGGGATGATGATTAAGCACCAACACAAAATGGGAGAGACTACCACAAAGAATTCACCAGATTTTTATGAGTCGTCAATTTAAAATTACCCACCATGTGCTGATGTCAAATTCCTAGTCAAAGCAACTATAGCAAGAGACGGCATTTCACAAATGCTAAGAGACTGGTGGTGACAAAACTTTCCTTAATGACCATATAATTTAAACCCATGCATCTAGGGAGCCTCTAGATTTCCCATATAAAATTCTAGACAAAAAGGGAATATCATGAATAAAATCTCTGAAGGATTTCACTCATCTGTAGAAAAATACATGCACAAAAAAATGAACCATATATATACAGGTTTGACTAAGGAACCAACAATCTATCTGCAGAGACCAACAGTCTAACAAAAAAACCAAGTTGTGATACAGAATCTGGATAGTTAAGGTGCAGAATCAACAATAAAATCCAATATCAGGAGACATAAAAGCAAAGCATGCCTAATGTAAACAATGTTTCCACACCTATCTTCTAAAGGTATATCTGCAGAATGTACAGCTTACTAGATTGATATTCTGAAAAGGATAAGTGAGTGTAACAAAATAGTCAGGGTAAGGATTCAAAGATTAAAAGTTTCAACACACCATCTAATTCAGTTTCAAGATGAATATTGATGGCTTTGAAGGTAAAAGGGCATTTTCCACAGACCTTTGTGAGAATAGATAAAAGCATCAAGCTTGCTAGTTGTACTACGTCTAAAGTTCACCTTGACATGCCCTCCGTAACAAGCAAATAGCACCAATGGAAGGTGAGTTGATCCAATTGGCAATATTCACAGGCTAGTGGGCATGCATACTATTCCATGAAGCCGCCATGAGGTGTAACTAATATTACTGAGGTATTAAAACAAAATAATATTGGTCAACAATGAAGAAATGCCACTTCAAATGTGTAACTAAGTTATCCACGGAAACTATTAAAACTAAATGAAAAAGAGTTAGCAGCATCAACACAAAAATATCCAACTTTTCGTTTAAGCAGCGGTCAATATTACTTCTCAAAATAATTACCAGACTCAAGAATATGGTCGCAGAGCTGTCCCTCAGTCCGATCACCTTCCTAAAGTTGAACATAACCAGGACCGCCCTAGGCAAATCACCTAATGGTATCACATCCAAGTTATAGATATCATAAGTCACCCATTCCTCTTTAATCCACTACAAAGTGTCTTTCTGAAGTAATCACTTTTGGGCAGAATAATTGACCTTCAAGTTTCGTTTACAGAGCTCAAGCCCCACTTCTCATGCATTAGAAACACCAAGATAACTAAGGCACACCAAACATAAATCAAATTTACAGCACATTATCTTAAATTTGAACCCACGCGTTTCAGTTTCATATAGCTCAAACTCAAAATGGAAGAACACAGCCAGGGTTTCAAACTTCCTAAATTGCCACACACCTCATCACTTGGACCACAACCAACAAATTCCATTTCATTCAGATTTCCGATTCATAACCTTAGAATCCCCTAAACCCCAATTCAACACCACCATGCAAAGAACTGTCATATAAAAGATTATATAGCAAATTGCTTCAACTGATCAGCATAACGCAACTTCTTCACTCCGCAAATATTTTTCTTTTTTTACAAAAAAAAAAACCCAGCAAAGGAAACTGAAAACTAATGAGGAATTAAATGAGCACCCATCGCATCCCAAGACAAGTAGAGCAATATTAACGAGATGTTGAGAATAGGAATCACCTTTAGCTCAGGGGATTGACAGGAAGACCCTGAAAGAACCCAGGAGACCCACAAACACAAGGAAAAGACGAAGGATAAGTGAAGGAGAATAAAATAATACCGCAAGGCACGATAAAAATAGAATAAGAACAAGTAATGGGTTACTTCGACGTCTACCGCCGCTGGAACGAGAAGGGGCTGAAGATTTCCATCAGATCGGGAGACTTCGATCCGCTGCCGAGCCAACACGAGAGCAGAGGGAGAGAGAGAGGGGGGAGAAAATCTTTCACAGGGACAAAATGACGGGAAAATTTGTCAACATCAGGTCTTTACTTATTCTCTGCGCTTCCACACACACCCTCTCTTTCTCTCTCTCTCTCTCTCTCCCCTCTTTTTTCTTTTTTGTTTTTTCTTTGGGGATTTGTCAGAACTATGTAATCAATCATATGAAAATGCGTTGTATTTTCTTATTTGTTTTTCTTCTTTCTACCCCCGGATTTCTTTTTAAGATTTGGAGATCCTCACCGCCCACCGACCCCCGTTCCGAGGGGCAGCGGAGAAAGTGTCATGAGATTTACTCCGAAGACCGAAGGACAGTAACAGAAGTTAGAGATCCACCGAAATCTGAAACCAGCTTATTTTATATTCACTTATTATTATATATATGTGTACTTATTATCAGTAACAAAAAAAAAAGAGATAACTTCACAAAACCCCCTCAACTCTGGGTTTCGTGTGCGCTCAACCTCCAAACCTTTCCCAGCAAACCCCCAAACATCTGGTGTCTAGAGATGCCCGTCTGAACATTAAAAGATTCTCCCAGGGGACCCTGGTCGTGCTAACGGTCGTTATAGATACAAATATATCCTTTTGAGATTAAAAAAAACTGTTGTGGTGGTTGTGCTGGGGAAATCTTAAAATTTAGAGGGTATCCGTGAAATCTCAAAGTCTTCCTTTTGTCGGGGATACGGATCTTTCAAAGTCCGGGGGGTATTTGTAAAATTAACCAAACAAAATGATAAATATTTTGGTGGTTCATTTAAAAGCGCTTCCGGTTAGCTTTGAAATAAATTATGATCATCGAAAGTGTGTTGCTACAGGGACCCAAATAGGAGATCTAAGGCATGGAACAGGTGATGTGTCATCATCCGGTTGATTGATGTACTGTTTATGAACAATATATCATGTAACCGGATGGTAACACCTCACATGTCCAATACCTTAGATCACTTATTTGGGTCCTTGAGAAATTAATGGAATGAAAATGATAAATTATCTTTATGAAGATTTGTACCGTCAACGGTAAAGCGAGAGTCAAATTGTTTAAGAAGGCGTTCTGAGCAGGGAAACATACATCAGGTGATATGCGGGCTCCACTGAGATGATAAAGATAATCGATGAAAGTGGGGCCCACGTTGGCACAATGATCTCAGGGTACGAAGGAACATTCGCTGCTCGAGAGGCTTTTCCGGCTTCCTCTTCATTTATTTATTTCACAATTAACAAGATGTTAATATAATTTTGAAAGGTAGATTACCAAGAGTTACGGATCGCTACACATGGAAATTAAAGAATTATCAAATACTTCGTTGTTTAGTATAGAATAGTTTGAAATATATAGATTTCACTAAGTCGTTTTTTTTTGTGAAAATTAAATGGGAGACATCTAGGCTATACGGGTTGTTTATCTTTCAAAATCACACCACACACCAAATTGGTAAGTAATCGAGGACTGTCTGTGGCCCACGCTGATTCTAGTCCTGGAAAGTGAATGAAGATTCAGATTGATGTATAAAAGTTTCGGGAAATTGGGGAGATGGGTAGATACAACGTCTTGTGGGTGATAAATGTACGTGCTAGTGTTTTTAGGAGGACAGTTGCTTGCGTTTTTGGTCAATTGGTTTGCAAAAATTTAACTGAATGAGGAAATTAGAAGCCTTGGCAGATTTGGCACGCAATAAATTTGTGGGGGGCATCACCTTTGTCCTTTGCTTGCATGGTCCCCGGTGAAGTCATTATGCATGATCCTTTTTGGTATACATCAAGTCGAGGCATCCTATGGATTTCGGGTTGCATCGCTTGTACCGCTTGTCCTGAAAGCAACCAACTAACCAAGGAGGGTTTTTTTTTTTTTTTTGCCACTTCTATTTTGCTTTTGATATTAGGATTAATTACATCCCGGTGCCCTATAGTATGAGGTAACTAGATGAGTGATCTTGAGGTTTGGGTATCTATAAGGGTAGCCCTGAGTTAGATGCCCCGTGTGAAAAAGTGCTGGCGGAGCTTAACTTTGCATATGAAAATGACAAAAAATGTCCTTTCATACGAATACAATTTTCTCACCATTTGGCGTGATTTGATCCAGGTTACTTAGGGCATGTTTGTTTGCCTAACAAAAATTGAAAATCAAAGAAATGAAAAACTATTAAATCAAAGAATTGTTTTGGGAGTGTTTGATTTGCTAAAAAAAGAAGGAAATCAAAGAAATGAAGATGAGTTGTCACCTTATTATAGGATGATGTGAGTGATTTTTTAAGAAAACTTGTTTTGATGTTGTTTGGTTGGCGAAAAAAATAATGAAATAAATTATAAGAAACATATTTCTTGTAATAGGTTGTTTTCTTTTGCTTGGTTATTTCTTAAAAATAAGAAAATATATGAGATGAGATGAGTTGTCATTATATTATTGGATGATGTGACCCACACTTAAAGGAAGTTGTTTTCCTAGCTTTTTGGGAGGAAAACAAAGAAATGAAATGTTAATGAGATGAGATGAGTTGTCACAATCTTATTGGATGATGTGAGTAATTTTTAAATATTAGATGAGATGAGTTGAGTGATGTTGTGGATGAAAATAATATTTTATTAGATGTGATGGATGAGTTGTTGGATGAAAATAATATTTTATTAGATATGATGGATGAGTTGTTAGATAAAAATAATATTTTATTAGATATTATGGGTGAGTTTTAGGAATGGAAATGTGTGAAATTGTACTTTTTAAGTTTTCTTGGTTTGCATTTCTATTTTTTGGTTTTTTAGGAAATAACCAAACAGATCCTTAATTGAAATGTAGGGGACTTTAGAAAGTTCTGAAACAAGTTGAACAAATTATTAAGAAAGGTTATTTGCACATATACCACTTAAATCATGGATATTTACAAAAATACCCTCCAAATCTCAATATTTGCAAAATCACCCCTCAAATCATCAATTATATAAAAAATTACTCTCAGCAATTAATCATCAACTTTGATAAGCTAACTTATAATCGCAATGTAAAACTTATCAATAGTTAAATATTTAGTACCAAGTTGATGATTTGCTAATTTTAGAGATATTTTTCCTAAAGTTGATGATTTAAAGGGTGCTTTGCAAATACCAATTTTGGGGGGTATTTTGCAAGTACCCATTATTTAAGGGGTATAATGCAAATAACCCTATTAAAGTAAATCTTTTCATGAAATGGTTTTTATAAATCAGTCCCTCAAATCTTTGGTAACCCCGTATTAGTTCATCAAGTCTTTAAAATTGCTTAAGAACTGAGGGGCTAACATGAAATTATTGAAGATTTGCGAGACTAGTATCCAAATAACCCTTTTATAAAATGATTTGAGGGGCTAATGAGGAACTATAAAGATTTTGACAGAATAATTGAAGAATTGAGGGACTAATTTCTTAATAAAATGATTTAAGTGCCTAATTAGGGCTACCTTTGTAGATACTTAGACCAAGGATCATGGGTGCAATTACATTATACCACAAGGTACCAGAGTGTAAAAAGAGTATTTTAGGAATTCCCATATTGTGTTAGAAAAACAAACAGTGTTAATAAACTGTAATATTTTGGGCTACGATGATACAAGTTAGCAACCTAAGGGTTATTCGTGTAAATACCCAAACCTCTGGGGCACCCATGTAATTATATTATACTAAAAGGTACCGGAATGTAATTAATCCTTGATATTATTATTTTTGAAAATGTGAGTTTCAATGCAGATGGATGAATGGATATCTACTTTCCTTTATAGCTAAAGGAAAACCATATATGGTGAACAATAAAATTTCTCATTATCCACGTATTTAATACCTATCATCACACACAAGCAGTATACTGATATGTGTTCTCTCCATTTCCCACAACCGTCTTTTGTGCTCACAACATTCCCACTCAAATTATTAAACAATTCCCACTAAGGGACCTCATGGCCACGTTACTCATCTTCAGCCACGTTGCTCATCTTCAGCCACGTTTTGCAGTTGCCTAAACTTCCCCACAATCATTTTGCAGTTACTCTGCTTTCACACATTTCCTGTTTACACTCTTCATCAATTTCCTCTTCCGCCTAAAGATAGTTCAAGATAATTCTTCAATAGGTTAGAATCAATTTCATCTTCCGCCTATAGAGACTGCGGAGCATTTTCTGTTTGAATTCTTCATCAATTTCCCCTTCCCCCTAAAGATAGTTCAGGAGAATTCTTCTTCAGGTTATAATCAATTTCATCTTCCGCCTACATAGAGTTCGGTACATTTGTTGTTCGAATTCTTCATCAATGAGTGATTGTTAAAATTTAACATTAATTCATTATGTTTATCTATACTTTTCCTTGCTTAGTCTAGAAAAATAAAACTCAGTAATAGTATGATATAGGATAATTGACCTTTGACGTTAGTTTTGTTAATAGTTGTTTTTTTTTCATTTTGTAACAGACGTTCACATTTCTTTCTTTATTGCATGGTAGCTGACATTTCATAATAAATAAATGTAGGATCAGTATGAAGGATTTTTATGGTGCATGCTTCTAAATTATTTGTGTATACAATTATCATATTGCTTACACTCTGTTCTTGACAAATAATAAAATTAAAGTAAAAACAAACTCATTATACAGTTATGATTTTTCCTCGATATGTTTAGACAAATAAAACTCACTATAGCATTATATATGTTAATTGGGCTTTAACGTTGTTTTTACTATTTGTTTATTTTTTTGACATCCAAATTTCTGTTTTTACTCCCGAAGTTTGATTATTAAACCAATTATGAAACTCAATTCAACTTGAAGTTGCAACTTTAGTATACACACTGAATAATCTTCAACCAAATATCAAAATGGTAGTTTTGTGATATTTTTTGAATTTAAGGGGGATTTTTTGATATTTTGGTTGTTAAGTGGGTTTTCCAATAATCCTAGAGGGGGGAAAGGGAAAAAGAATTAATATTGGACTTATTTTCTCAACCAAACCTAACCAAATTCTAAAAATTGTATCCAATATCAAATGTTGTACTCAAGTTGCACACTTAATTGTATACATCAGTGATTGTAAAGCTATTGTGTTTAGACAAACCTGTGAAATAATCACATTAAGTGGCAAGGTGCTATAGCTACACCAAAACTGAACTAGCACACTGTTATCATTGAGAAAAGCATAACATATAATTATTGCCAATTTAAATGATGCCAAAAACTGAATCATTACGAAATATTGCACACATGAATATTGTTGGAAAATTAAAGAAGAAATGAGAATAAAATTTGTATTTATCTCTCTAACTGACTTAGAAAAAGAATGAATGCAATCTC